CGGGACGCCTGCCAGAGTGTCCCAGATTGCCCGACTCAGCAACCTGGGACACTCTGGCTGGAAAGGTGGTGGAGGGAAAACACTGCATACATTGTGCAGCAGAGTGGCCATGCCATTGTGCCTGCCGCCCTCCCCCAGGTGACCCAAAGAGATGCCACCTCCGGCTGCCTCTTTATATGGATGGTCCTGAGTGCAAGGGCTTGCCCGATTGGATAGTTCAGGCTATGCCCCAGTATTGAAGAAAACACATATTGTTATACTGGTTCTATTCTTCTGCTGCAGTAAAAATGGATCAAACCCGCAGCAGAGTCCATTGAAAGGCATTTTTGATTATTTCTCTAATTGATGAATCTTCTGGTCTATTGGTCACTTAGAACTGGGAAACGCCTGAGCTGTGGGTGGCAGATTGCGGTGATTGAAAGCCGGTAAAAAGCTCCAAAAATGCCTGTTTTGCTTTCTTTCTATAAATAGGAGCAGAAGAAATGATTCACAACGTGCACACGCTATTCCATGACCAAGCCTCTGCTGCCTCCTGCTGAATGTTTTGTGGACTCGCGCCTTGCAATTCCACACTCCGGGACCTCTGCCGAGAGCAGTGATTGTGGCGGCTGCTTTAATCAGAGGGAATCATGTTGTGAGGTCTCAGGTAGTGTTAAGTGATTTCAATCAGCCATTCCTTTGCTTTCATGTGGATGGATGTAAACCAGTAAATTACAGCAGAAAGGGCTTTGATTAGGGTCCTGCGTCTTGTGGAAAGCTAATGGGATTATTTATTGTCGATAAAATTCTAATTAACGGCTTAAAGTGACACTCCAGTCAAAATGGAAAATTGAGTCTAGAAATGCAAACAGGGAGCCCCCTCCTTTCACATCAAAGTTCCCCCTCTCACACTAGAAGTCCCCCTTCACATTAGAGTCCCCTCCTTTCAGATCAGAGCCCCCCCCCCTCACATCACAAGCCCCCCTTAAAACCAGAATCCCTGCTTTACATCAAGAACCTTCTTCACATCAGAATCCAGCTTAACCTAGAAGGAGTCGTCTTCTTTCACAACAGAGTCTCCCCTCTCATACTAGGAACACTGTTCTTGAAATCAGAGACACCGTCCACTCAGAGTCCTCTCTTTCATATCAGAGTCCTCCCCTTTTACATCAGGAGCCCCTTCATATCAGAAGGGTACCTGTTCCACAGAAAAGGCATGACATTGTGCCAAAATTTCGAAGTACCCCTGAGGAAGCCAAATAGAACCCTGGTTAAGAAAGGCTTCTCCAAGCTACCAAACACCCTTTTATTATCCGTGCCTTCTCTTGTTCCTGGATCACTTTCTGACACAAAGAAATATCTCATATAGGTCTTCCTATCAGCAGTATGCAATCCCCAGACACTGGAATACCACCAATACTACAACCAGAAAGGAATGGATTCAGAAACTCTGTCTAATAATGAGACTAGAAAAGCGAAGAGCTCAGGTGCAGGATAAATATACTTTCTACAATTATATTCAATATAGAGACACACCAAACCATGCACTGGCAAAACTTCATCCACCCCTACTCCACCTTCTTCTCTTTCCCACTTACTTATTCCATAGCATCCCATCTACGCAGTTATCCCCCCACACCCCCAAATTACTATCACCCATCCTACTTTAATAAACAAATGAACTCATAGGTGGTGGTGGTGGGGAGCAGTTCACCTCCATGAATGAGCCCTTGTTGGGCAAAACAGGTCAGGGAGTGAGGATTGCAGGTGGGTTTTAATCAGATTTTTCCACCTGGAAACACAATGTTTTAGACTGAACATGATGGGCAACATTTGTTTCTTGCTATGTGGTGGACTGTGAGTAGAGAAAGGCTTCAGGAGCTGTGCCTGCACATGTGGGAAACGGATATCCAAGAGTAAGCTTTTGAAACGGTAGTGTTTTTTGGATTTTTGACTTGCAGCTTGGCTGCTGCTGAAGGGTGCAAGTGTAGCTGTCCGTTCCTACTTGTAAGAAGATACAGCAGGAGTTTTAGCCACGAGAGGCTGCTGGGGGGGGTCAGGATGGTTTTGTTGATGAGCTGTAGGTTCAGTCCTCTGCCCATCTGAAGCTGTGTTGGTGCAATAAGCCAGTTGTGAGGAACCCAGACAGACCTGGAAAGATACAATGTGAAGTGCAGCAACACCATAAAAAAAGGTGAAGGTCAGCTGGAGGATATGCCAAGCACAAGGGCTTAGCCTCTGGGGGGTGACCAGAGTACCTGAATTTAGAGGTGGCAAAGTACACAAAGACTCATTTAGATGTGCATACTTTAATGCAGAAGGCTTACCAGAGGAGTTGGCTGACCTCTAGCATTGAGCCTTGTGGGTTGCATGGGAGGTAGGCTCAGAATGCCTATGTGTACTGATTACTACAGTGGATGAAAAACAGAGTGGGATTCCTCTTCCCCCACCATGGACCTCCTGCACTTAGGCAGAAGCACATTACAGCCTATCGTTGCCAATGACAATGTCAGCAGCAGTTCCGAAGAGAGACCTCATCCCTCATACGGTAGCCAGATGCTCCTAGAATGCCTTGTCAGCATCCCAAGCATGCAGCCATACTGCCCTGCACATTTGTAAAGACATCAACCCCATGCAAGACTTAAGCTTAAAAGCTGCTGACAAGCCATCACAACTAAAACACAAGGACCCTACAGCAGTGATGGAGGGATCCTCAGAGAGCATACAACCATTCTGAGATGGTTTGGCAGATTAAAGCTAATGCCAACACAGGATGAAGAGTCACACCAGTTAATTCAAACTGGGATTTTAGGAGGTAACATAACTGTCTATCAGTGACATCCATAAAGGTAAGCATGCCGTCCACCCACTTGGTGGTCTGTCTCTTAAGGTTCTACTGCTAAGATGGTGGTACTCTCCCACAGTTGGAAAGTACCACAGATTTATGAATTCCCTTGCAAAGAGAAAACGTCCTGACACACTCAGGAGGGGCCCAGGAACCTTCAGTGTGTTTCAAATAGTCAATAGAAAAATAGCTGATGATCCAGGAAGGTCTTTGTAGTTGTAGGAGCTCTAACAGAGCCAAGACCCTAGACCAGTAGGCTGATACTCCAAGTACAGGGTAGAGTGAACTACATTTATAAGGATTAGAGTCAGTTGTGGGAGACTGTGCTGACCTGAAAACAGCCTCACCAGACAGACTGTTGGATCTCTAAATCTGAACCTGAGACAATAAAAAGGACCAAGGAGGCCCCTTAAGCTATAGGGCTTAGGATGTTCAGAGCCACACTGTGCAGGGGATGGTGCCGGAGCACACTTAATTAACCACTCTGGGCAGATACCTAAGTATTTGAACACAACAGATAAGAAGTGCAAAATGGACATGGAGGTCCCTATTGACATGAGGGAGGCCTCAGCTGCACCTGACAGAGCTGCATTAGGATCCGATAATAATGATCATATGACAATAGGAGTCCTGAATTCTGGATTACAGGTGTTGGTTTCTTCTAGGAATACCAGGTAAATGTCACTAGAGGGAGTGTGGGCTGAGGTCACCTGTGGCGGCGGGACTGTCCTCTGTATGCCTTTTCTAGGACATGTTGCATCCAGACAGTGGTAATACAACCAAGCTCATTGTGAAGTTAGGCTTCAAGTACTTACAGACCTGGGCAGCTGGTGCTGATGAGGGATTCAGACTGCCACAGATCACCAATTCACTGTAGGCAAACAATGAAAACCATAAAAAGACCTGAGAGCCACATGGTGCTTTAAGAACAGGAGCAACAGCGGAATCATGCTTTCTCCAAACTAAATGGTGGAAAAGAGATGACTTTAGAGTTTGACCCCTCAGCCTTAAACCTTACCATAGTAAACTCAGCAGGAAATGTAAAATGGGGCCCAATGGTGTGGTAGCTCCTGAGGCTTCACCCTACCGCTCTTACTGATTAAGTGAGTCTGCAGAGACTGGGTCACATCTAGAGCTGTGCCACGTCACTGGATTCAGAAAGCACTCTGCAGCTAACACGGTACACATAAGATCTGGAAAACAGCGCAATACAGAGCCCAGGACCCATACATCACATTCTAGGCAAGTCCCGCAATTTCCAGTCCACCGAGGTCCAGGCACTGCTTGGGACCAATTAAATTCAATGGCATTTTGCAGGAAAACAACACCCATCAACATGAGCCCTTAAGGTGACTGTTAAAACGAATGGCAAACACGCTCAACAACTCATAACTAGCTTTAAAGCAAGGTGCACATGGAATTTAAGTAGTTACACATTACTAAAGGAAGGCCTGCCTCATTTGTAAAATAAGGAAATGTCAGGGGTTGATCTGGAACTGATGGTGGGCCATTAACAATTCAAACCGTTCCATATACATGGGCCATCACATGTACTGGAGAGTCTGCAGGTCTGTTTTATAATGACATTGTATATATTAGCTCCTTGTTGATATAGGAGTAAAGAGAGACATTTTAAGTGGTTGGGAAGGGCCTGATGTACGCAAGGTATGTTATAAGAGGCAAGACGCAGAATCAATCCAAGTACTGCTAATGCCATTTAGGAATCATTACATCTCTCTTAACTGTAGTCTGATCTCCATGCTATTCACTGCAGAAGTGTTTATCTCACATATACTTCTCAATGGCACTACATTCCTTTTTCACATGATGTTGTGCTCTATTCTCCTTCCTCCTCCTCTAAGAGCCTTCAGTAGACATACAGTAGATGGAATAAGTGGCCTGCACATGTAAAGGCTCAGTAACTGGTGTTACCAGGACACCAAATAACCAAAAACAATATGAACCTATGCAACTACAGTTCTGGTGTACCACAGCTGTGCCTACATGGAAAGGAATACTCTTAAGCTAGATTGTGTTGCTTTATACAAGGCTCAATTTTCTGAATACAGTTTACCTTTAACATGCATACAACTTACACATCAATAAATAAGGAATCAGATCTAACAAGAATTACAATAAAAAGCATGCAGAGGCCAATAACTGTTCCTCATCTTACCGTATCCCAGTCTATGCTGCGGAAAAAGGTGTGTGACTTGATATCAGCAAATCCCGTCTGTAGCTGGCATCCCAGTCTGTCTTTTGGATCCTTCAGGGAAAAAGTTAGATTAAGGAGTTTAATTTACCAAGACATATCATGTACTAAACAGAAAAAGACACCTGGAATACTATAAGGTAGAAAGACTTCCAGTTTCCTCTCAATTCCAGTGACAATTGTAAAACTTTAGGTTTCCCCTCTTTTCCTGTCTTGGTGACAGAAAGACCTGATCCGAATGACCGTCTGAAAGGGCCTAAACTTCACCAGCAGGCTCGCAGCAAGAAAAAAACCAACAGAAAATAAGTTTTGGATGGAGTAAGCATATAGTAACTGCTGTGCTGACTGAATGGTGTACACAATGGACAATTACGGGGGAATGTAGTAAACTTTGTTTTGTTTTCTTTAAAATAATCAACAGATCTTAGTGAATTAAACTGAAGAAAGGCAAATCATTTACAGTATTGGCAAAACATAACTTTGCCATAAAATTGCTGCATTCTGATCTAATAGAGGCTCGAAATTCTGTCAGCAGTTGTTAAACTTGCCCACACACTAACACATCTGACCATTAGCCTGACAATAGATTCTAAAGGACAGATAATTATGTACAGATGGGAATAATTAGGTATTGGAGAAACTAACTAGCTGTGACTCATAGTAACCAGCAGAGCTGTGTGGACCATGGTGCACGCTTACAACATACTGTATCATGCTGTCCTCAAGATATGTGCAGATTATGGAAGGCACCAACACATCAATCCAGCTTCTAATTTTCCAGCAAATTACAGAAAAATTGTAGTTGAAGTAACAAAATGTTTAATTCTATGAACCAGTGAGATCAACTAAACATACACAGAACCTAAAAAGCCCCATCATCTGAACGATCAAGAATGGCTTGGGTAGTATGTTGCATACAACCTGATCCCATCCTGTGGCTACCATTATGTTAGAGACTGTGCCATTCACACCTGAGTGACTGCTGACATAAAAGCAAGAGATGTCTAGAGACTGTTTTCAGTCAGTCTGGGATGACTGACAGATTTGCCCTGTTTATGTAAAAGGTGGTCACATTGAACTATATATCTGAAAACCTTTTGAAGACCTCGTAAGAGACAGGTACTCATAAAACCAAAAATCAACGCACCTTGTTTAAAAACCCTTTTAATACATGGGAGGCTTTAACAGACAGGAACCTTGGGATCCGAATTGGCTTCTCTAGGATAACTGGTTACATGCAAAAAGAAAACAAAAAAAAACCCAAGTTATTAAGAAAAGTTCTGTAAATTTTATCTCTGAACACATTACACAGCAGACGGCTACATTTGCACCTCTGCATTTTAGTACAATGAGTTACCAAAAAATCTTTTTCTGCAGCATACACATTAAAGATTGTGGATCTAAAGGCACCTCAATTGCATTGAACAGCAACAGCAATTCTTAGAAGACAGAGGTGTAAATGTAGCCTAAAGAGTGACAAAATGTAACAGAACAATTTTATGCCATGATGTAAAGGCCTAGTTAAAAAGCAATGTCCTGCTCAGTTTACTTATTTCTGATTTGCTGCTATCATGACAGCTGAATAAAGACATAAGTCCAGTGGTATAAATCAAGACAACATTTCACTGTTGCAGCCATCAACACTGACAGATCCAGCTAGCAAAACATCTAAAAGTAAGCAGGATTTTGCTATATCTGCTTATATGCTTTTAACGTTTAAGCTCTACTCCATGGACCTCACCTTCTCTCTGGGCAAGCTCTCTCTATGCCACAAGGCAGCATCAATTGAGACGATACTGCCATTGATATTAATATAAGGTATGCCTAAATCAAGAACCTGTAGCAACAGAGGTGTCAACATAGTTAGTCCTCTGTTAGGGACCAGTTCTGTAGATAGAATTTGTCAGGTTAAGGATTGAGGGTGGTGAGGGAGGGTGGTGAGTGGGGTGGGGGTGCAGCAGTTCCGGGACATAAGTTTAAAGCTCAATTTTCCAGCAACTGACTTTTTCCTCAATAGCTTACCAGTCTTTAAGCATAAGTTGATATTTAAGGCCCCATGCACATTGGAATTATAATACATGAGACCAGGTGCATGTGGAGCTTATTTCTAAATACACTCGGAAGCATGTAATGCTTTGCTATGGTTCAATCCACACCTAGACGTTTAGCAGCATCTAGGTGGATTCAGTCTAGCTGCATTTACACAAACCAGAATTGTATGCAGCCTGGGACTATTCAACCCAGTTTTATGTGACTAAACACATGTAAAGATATGTAAATGCAGCTAAGAAACCCAGGAACATTTAAACACAGGAAAGGGTGGTCTGGGAGGCATAAACATTTTTCCCACAGGACAACTTCTCCTTGGTTATCACAGGAGACTTGTGTGCATGGGGCTTAAAGGGGTAGAAGATCTCAGGTACAAATTCTAAGCCCTCACACCCCTTTCCTAGCAGTTTCTGAAACAGTTGTAGTAACAGTAATAATGATAATATCCATAATGATATTTTGTATCAACACATCATTGTTAATATACCTGCAAACCTCCTTGTAGTGTTTTTTTGTAAAAACCCCAAACCTAAGCTGTCTTGTCGGTGTTTAGCTGAGATTCCTTTTTTTATAGCCTCCGGAAGATTGTAAAGCAATACAGATTTAGTTCCAGAGTGATGGCTAAGATACCAGGCAACCTTGAGAGCAAAAAACAAAAAAGGAGCGCCTCCATAGTGTAAAACGAATTTTAATGATAAAAACGCACAACTGTATTGTACTTACAAGAAGTCGGGAGTAAAAAGGCATGTAGAAAACAATGGGATGTCAAATCATCTAGCAGCGGACGTCTGAAAAGATGTGTAGCATCAGCGTCCACTGCTCCTGTGTGGTCTCGGTGGTCTCTTCGTTTTACACTATGGAGGCGCTCCTATTTGTTTTTTGTCTCTCAGATTGAAGGTCCTTTGACTTGTGGGAGCTGCCTCTTCAGTGTGTTCGTTACCATTTCAACTGGCCGATATTGCACGTGGAGGCGCCGGTATTGTTTCCTGACACTTAACCTTGAGAGCAGCCAAACAAAGTTGCTTGCTGTACAGAGCAAGTAAGCGAAAGTTGGGACTAACGATGGTTCTGTTGTGAATCTGATGCCAGCTTTTCATGACTGGAGACTTTAAAGAGCGTCAGTGTCAATGGCAACACTTTTCAATGAAACAGAACTGGATCTGTGCTACTGTCACATGCACACAGATTTTATATCTTTATTTGCCTTATCAGCCTCCCTACTCCCCCCCCCCCCCCTCTTCCCCCCCCCC